TGATTGTTTGTAGTTAAAGTGATTGATTAATTACCCGCCTAGCAGTTAAGAGATTTTATTCCCTCCCTAACTTCAGGGGAAAATCCCTACCTGGGGAAACAACCTTTCTCGGAGAGGTGACCTTGGACCGGTCTCTCTCCCTTCCTCTCTGTAAAAGATTAATAAAATATATTAAAAAAAAAAAAAAAGAGGGAAACATCTATAGGACCCGGGTGCAGATCACGCGGCCCCAGAGGAAGCCTGCTTTCGTTGGGTTTTGTTGCACCTGTTAGGTCTCAGGTAAAATGTCGTGGTGTCAGGGGAAACCTATGGGCCGTGCAGGGGCACAAGCTCCTCCCACTTTGCACCAGTGAACGGCACAGGCAGAGACGCCATCTCATGGGTCATTTTCAAGGCAGAGGCTGTATATAAAAAAAAAAAAAGAGGGAAACACCTATAGGACCCGGGTGCAGATCACGCGGCCCCGGAGAAGGCATGCTTTCGTTGGGTTTTGTTGCACCTGTTAGGCCTCAGGTAAAAGGTCGCGGCGTCAGGGGAAACCTGTGGGCCGTGCAGGGGCACAAGCCCCTCCCACTTTGCACCGGTGAACGGCACAGGCCCCGTTCAGGTGACGCCATCTCATGGGTCATTTTCAAGGCAGAGGCTGTGATTGGCTCTCCTGCCCCAAGGGTTCTGGGTCAGCGGGCAGCTGGGGTCCAGGCTCCGTGGGTGGTCCTGGCCCCGGGGTCTCTCTTCCCTCACCCCTGCTCGGTCTCCCTCGCCACCAGCCCGCACTTCTCAGTGTCCCTACACCTGGTGGCTCAACGCAAATGGCAAGGGCGGCAGCTGACACTTACGTAACGCTTGGCACTGCCAGGCACCGCCCCAGGCTTCTCCTACCTCGGCCTCTCTCCTCTTCTCACCCGTGCCCCCCTCCTGCGGGGGCTCCCTGACGCCCTACTCCACGCTGCCACTGCGCCCGCCACTCCTGACACTCTGCTCTGCTCCCGACACTCTGGCCCTGGTCACCTTGTCACACCCCGAATCGTTTGTCTGTTTATTTGTCACTAGCGGCCCTGTGCACAGATTCGTGCACATTGAAAGGAAATTAATTAGAAGAAAGATTCGTGCGGTAATGACGTTGCTGCAAAAAAAATTACATGTCAAAGTGGTATATACAATATAGCATTATAAAACCAAAACGTATACAATATAGCGTTATAAAACCAAAACACGCATGGGATTGGTGCCAGCAAGAGCTTTGTATGTATTGCACATGTGCAAGTCAACATTTATTTTTAAATTGCCAGTTCGCGTCCTATGTACAGGCCGGTCGGTCAGACATATGTACGGTCAGTCACTTAGCCTTTTATATAGAGATGTTTGGTGTTTATTGCCTCTCTCCTCCCAGGTGAATGCACACCCCCTAGAGTGCAGGGCTCTCACTGTTTTGTTCACTGACCTATACCACCTCGCCCCCCCAAAAGTGCCCGGGGCCACCGTAGCTACTTGATAAGTAGCTGGCAAATAAAGTAATTAATGCTGTTTTGCAGAGGAACGGAGAGGTTTAGTGACTGGCTCCAGGCCACATGGCCAATAAGAGACACAACCAGGATTCAAACCCCCGCTGGAAGCCCCAATCCACACACACACAAGCACCGATCTGGACCGCCTCCTGAACGAAATAGTAAGAATTTGCCTTTTTAGTTTATTGAAAGGTTAGAAAGCAGCACTTTCACCTTCTGTTGCTCTTAACGGACACCCTAGTCCCGTGGTCGGCAAACTCATTAGTCAACAGAGCCAAATATCAACAGGACAACGATTGAAATTTCTTTTGACTTGCCTGTTTAGTTTATTGAAAGGTTAGAAAGCACTTTCACCTTCTGTTGCTCTTAACGGACACCCTAGTCCTGTGGTCGGCAAACTGTGGCTCATGAGCCACATGCGGATCTTTGGCCCCGTGAGTGTGGCTCTTCCTAAGCCTTAGGAGGACCCTAATTAAGTTAATAACAATGTACCTACCTATATAGTTTAAGTTTAAAAATTTTGGCTCTCGAAAGAAATTTCAATCGTTGTCCTGTTGATATTTGGCTCTGTTGACTAATGAGTTTGCGGACAGCTGCACTAGTCCATGAGCAAGGGGAGGCCAGGAATTGCAAAAAACAGTGGACTCCTGGCCACCATGAACCCCGTGGGGGAGACCGGCCACCGTGACGCCTGGGAGAGGGACCAGGTCTCTGGTGGGACCCAGGGTGGGGCCGAGGGAGGACAGCCCAGGTCAGGGCTGGCTGGACCGGAGGGGAATGCATCTCCTGGGTCTCCAGTGGTCAAGTACCCTGCAGTGCAGGTCTCCACTGTCCCCTGGCCCCTGGCTCCTGGCTGCAGGTTAGCTATCACCTTCCAGCCGCTCTGCCCCCCATCCCACCCCCCACCCCATCTTCTGGGCCCAGCAGACCGCTCAGCTGTCCTGGGAACGACTGGGGGCTGGGGCTTCGGGTGGTGTGTGGAGAGGGACTCCCCGCTTACCTTCTGCGTCTGCCCCCAAGACCAGCACCTTCTGCGTCAGCTCCCAACACAAATACCTTCTGCTTCTGTCCCTAAAACCAGACCAGGACCTTCTGTTCTGTCCCCAAGACCAGGGCAGCCTCTTTCCTGGCCGGGACGCGGACGCCCTATTTATACGTGAAGGGCGGGGATGGAGCCGTTCCCGGACTGTCCTGTGCCCGGGCTGGGGGGCGGGGGTTACATCACGGTGGGGGAGGGGGCCCAGCAGCCAGGCCTGAAGAGGGGGCTGGACGCCAGAGGGACTCCTGCTGGGACAGCTTCCAGGAAGTGGGTGATCGATGCCCTCGCTGCTGCTGCTGCTGAACAGAATGCGCTGGGACACGGCCCAGTTACACATTCACTGCAGCTCCCAGGGGCAGGGGCCGTGGGCGCCGGACGCAGCGCATCCCCTGTGGGCATGTGAGGGGCCTCTGCCCCGACATGACAGCCGGCCAAGGGCAGCCTGGGATGACTCTTTCTTTCTTCCCTTTTTTAAAAAAATTTTTAAATTGATTTCAGAGAGGAAGGGAGAGGGAGACAGAGATAGAGACATCGATGATGAGAGAGAATCCTGGATCGGCCACCTCCTGCACTCCCCACACTGGGGATCGAGCCCGCAACCCGGGCGTGTGCCCTGACCGGGATTCGAACCCTGACCTCCTGGTTCCTAGGTCGACGCTCACCACTGAGCCACGCCGGCCGGGCGTGCTCTTGTTGAAAAGGGCCCTCGCTCAGATGTCCTCGGGTTGCTTTGTGGGTCCGCTCCGAGTTCGGTAAATCAGACACGGGGAGCACAAGGTCCAAGCCCCCTTCTCCACGGAGGC